AGCCGTCTCCATCACCGCGACGTGGGCCGGGACGAGCACAGGGCAGGCTCCGCGACCGCGGAAGCACGCTCCGCTCTGTCCGAAACCTGTGCGGAGGCGCAGCTCCGACGACAAGTCCGACTTCTACTAGCAACGGCAGCACCTAGGGCTTTTTCAGCCTTCCTCCGACGACGTCTTGCCGCTACCCCACGCCGTGCGCCTCCGCCGCCACGGCGAGGAAAAAAGTCCCTACTGCCACCCCGAGCCAGGTCCCACCCCGCCCCCTAGCCGGGAGGGGCTGGGGCCTTCCGCCGGGGATGGGTTTTATCCTTTATGGTTTCGGTTGACCCCCTGAAGTTTTCAGAATTCTTGCTCTCAAGAAGTTAACAGTCTCGCAGAGAGATCACATCCGCAATGGATCATTCAAACACGTCATACACTTCTCCACGAAGGATTTACATAGTTAAAAACCCTACGAGAGAGGCAGAGTACTGGAACCGGAGGAGGGTTCTCCAGGTAGAGAAAACAGCTTGAACACAAAAGCAGTGAAGTCAGCAAGCAATAGTAATGAGGATACTAAAGACACCGAACATTTGTTTTTCCTAGATATTGTGCTAAGTGCTTTGCGAGATTGTTTAATTGGTGAGGTAGCTTAAGCATATGCCCAAATCAACAGTTCAGACTGTTTATTGGAAAGTGGGGCTGTTGCACAGAAGTCGTCTCTGGGTTGGGCAAAACGATCTTGAAATAATCCAGTCAAGGAATATCGGGGCCCAAATAAAGTCAACAGTGCTATTAATTTTAAAAAAAAAAAGGATAGTGCAGCGGTGGTACCACACGCCTTTAATCCCAGCATTTGGGAGGCAGAGGTGGATCTCTGAGTTCAAGGCCAACCTGATCTACAGAGTAAGTGCCAGGACAGGCTCCAAAAGCTACATAGAGAAACCCTGTCTCAAAAAACAATAAAAATTGAGAATTGATCCGGGCGGTGGTGGCACACGCCTTTAATCCCAGCACTCTGGAGGCAGAGGCAGGCAGATCTCTGTGAGTTCGAGACCAGCCTGGTCTACAAGAGATAGCTCCAGGACAGCCTCCAAAGCCACAGAGAAACCCTGTCTCGAAAAACCAAAAAAAAAAAAAAAAAAAGAGAGAGATGTGTCTGTGTCCAAACAGCAGATTTCTCACAAGCTGAAAGGTACAACTAACCCTGAAGGAAAGACATCAGTCCTAGAGGTATGATCCCAACGTTGCTGAGATGTTGTCTCTATGAAATACAAACGTGGGGGATGCCCCAGAAAAAGTGAAAAGAAAATCATAAGTAGAACTTATGAAATGAAATGACTTCTTTAATCCAGAAAGCAGACAAACTCAAGGAAGGGCTCTATGCCACAGCCTCCATTAAGGAGGGATCCACAGCCCTTCCTTCAGAACAGCCTGAGGAAGGGTATTTCTCTTAGCCTCATGGTTTAGTTTTTAGTAAGACTCATGTAGCCGAGGCTGGCTACATGACTTTGATCTCCTGATCCTCCTGCCTCTGCCTCTTAGGTGCTGGGATTACAGATGCATCCCGCCACACTCAGACTATGCTTCCTTGATTTAAAAAAGAAGGCCCGGCGTTGGTGGCCAACGCCTTTAATCCCAGCACTGGGGTGGGGTGGGGTGGGGGACAGAGGCAGGGGGATCTCTGTGAGTTCGAGGCCAGCCTAGTCTCCAGAGCGAGTGCCAGGGTA